TGATAGGCATGTTGGAAAATTTCAATTATTCTGGAACAGCGCACAATGCTGCTACGTTCCATCTTGACATGAGACTACCAACCCTTAGGAAAATTCAGATCAATTTATATCATTGCTTGTTAGAGTTTCAATGAGTCATAAACTTTCAGTTGCTTCGATTAATTGCCATTTCTTCATCAATTTCTCAGATGTCTACAGACAGTTGAGTTTCTGCGAAAAATTTGACCATTCGATCGATTCATCAACATTTTTTAGAATTATGAAAGCCGTTACCTTTCGAGGAAAAATTTAACTGTTGGATGCAGATTGCCCAACTTTCTTGGAATTGTTTTTGGATTGAAATTATAAATGATAATTGCATTCCCCCTCCACTTGCGAAGAGCCTATAAGTAGCTGAAGTAAAGCAACTGATTCATCATTCAGTCTCAAGCCTATAAGTGCAGTCACACGAAATCTTCTAAGACGAAGTGAATCGAGGAGAGAACCAAATAAATCAAAATGGAGAAGCAAGCCCTGGATCTCGATGAGATCAACAAAATTGCAAGTCGAGGGAATTTCCTGCCAACCAAACGTCGAACGGAGCTGTCACTCAACCAGAAGTATTTAGTCACCGATCTGAAGGTGATCTCAACTAAATTTGGTGCTGAACCCTGGTGAAAATGACTCCTTGAAACTTATTAAAAAAAAAGAGTAATCGGAAATGAGGACGTTATTGCCGTTTTCCCACTATTTCCTATTGAGGTTAGTGAAGAGTGACGGAAGCGGAAAGAATAAAAAATTAATAGGATCTGAGGAGGAATACCGAAGGGCGCGCCCGGACACAAAACGAGCAGTGCGACTCGAGTCCACCTTGACAATTTAACGAATAAAAAGTCATTTTTTCAGTGAAAAAATGCAATAGGATTTAATGGGTAGCGGGAGTATTTCTTGTTGAAGACGATTAGCGATTTTCTGAAAAACATAAGGGAGACTAAAAATCTGAATGTAATAGAAATTATATTATGCGGGCACAAGTAAACAAAACCCCATACATTAATAGAAGATGAATTTAAAGACAACCTCCTCGAATCTTATAGATACGTAGAATAAACGTTTCAAAGGAGGTTTGTAATCAGTCTTAACTAAGCGAACTCCCTACTTCCAGTCTTTTCATGGAGATAATGTTAGATGAGGGCAAAGATTCCATAAGTAGATATGTAGAACCAAATAATCACAAAACAACAGGCGGAAGAATGATAGTTTTTAATGGGGACGTCACCGATTCTTATGGTGATAGTATATGTACACCAGAGGGATTCTAATGAATTTTAGAAGGGCACACGTCGGACGGAAAAATAATAGGTTTCAATGGGAGCATTTCTGTAACCTATTGCTAAACAGTATATAGTTTTCGGGGAGTCTAACCAGTTTTAAGGGTCATAATGTCTCACCTAAGTTTTTCAAGGAACTAGTCCCAATTAATGGTCATTATTCGATGATTAACTGGGACAATCATTTAGCAGAAAAAAATAAGCGGAAAATAGAGGATATCGATGAGAATATCCCGGTGACGTACTGTTAATGAGTATTAATTTCTCGGGGAGTGAAATAAATTTTAAGGGGTCCACTTCCTCTCCTCGGTTTTTCAGGGAAATATAGCTAATTAATGGTCATTATTCAATAGTTGACTGTAACGATTATTCCGCGGAAAGCAAAGAATGAAAAAATAGTGGATTTCGATGGGAACATCCCAGTGACTTATTGCCGTTGAGTATAGATTTCTCGGGAGTCCACTCCCTCTCCTCTGTTGTTTCAGGGAAATCTAACTAATTAATGGTCATTATTCGATAGGTAACTGTAAAAATCATTCCTCGGACAACAATGAATGGATAAATAGTGGATGTCGATGGAAACGTCCCGGTGACGTATTCGTATTGAGTATACATTTCACGGGGAGTCCAGTTAGTTACAAGGTACCGAGTTCCTACTCGGGGTTTTTTCGGGGAAATATCCCTAACCAATGGCCATTATTCGATGATGAATTATTAAAATAATTGCGCGGAAACCGATGAACAGAAAATTAGTGGACTGCAATCGGACCATCCGTGTAGCCTTTAACCTATTGATTATCCAGTTTTCGGGAGCGTAATGAGTTTTAAGGGGAACACTGCCACCCCTGAGTTTCGTCCAGGAAATATGTCTAATTATAGGTCAATATTGGACAAGTAACTGTAACAAGCATTCCGCGGACAACAATGAACGAAAAAATAGCGCATTGGAATGAGAACGTCCACGTGCCCTTTTCTTATTCAGTATACATTTCTCGAGTAGTCCAATAGGTTTTGAGGGGCCCGCTTCTTCTCCTCAGTTTTTTCAGGGAAATATCCCTAATCAATGGTCTTGATCCGATGATTAATTGTAACGGTCCTTCCGCGGAGAATCTCCGTCTCCGTGACCTTTTGCTATCGAGCATACCTTTCTCGGTGAGACCAATCAACTCTAAGGAACATACTTCCTCCCCTCGGTTTCTTCAGCTTAATATCCCTAATTAATGGTCGTTATTCGATGAGTAATTGCACCAACCATTCAATGAACCACAACGACCGAAAAAATAGTGGATTTCAATGGGAACATCCCGGTGACCTATTACTATTGATTATGCATTCTGTAGAGCGTCTAATAACCTTCAAACGGTCACACTTTCTACTTTCGGTTTTTTTTCGGAGATATGGCCAATTGAGACTAATTATTGAGGTAAATTTTTTTTTAATTCATGGACAACCATAGATCAATATAAAACATTTACGAAACATAATACATTTTCATGAAAGGTTCCTTCTCGACTTATGCCTACAGTCAAATCCATACTTCTTTTTTTTTCAACAAAATCGCAACTTGAGATTAACTTTCTCCGTATACATTGATGAAATCTTATAAAAAACACAAAATAAAAGGAATTGAGGAATGATAGTTTCAGCGAAAACACTTATTGGGTAGTTTGAGTTGACAAATGATGGCATTATTGAAAAATGTTCATAGTGAGTTGATCACCGGTCTGGTCATTTCCATGGGGCCTCAGTCCCTTCAGAGATGTCTATATTTTTATGACGCTTCGTCGGCTTTTGGGGTGCCTCGTCGGTGGAGCTTCCATCGCAACCTGTTGAGCTCGACGAAGAGGATGGCTTCGGTGACGGATGCTCTTTGGCGCGAGGATTTTCATCCTTTTCGGAATCCGAATCAGATTCTACAGAAGAGGAAGAAGAACTTGCAATATTAATGGTCTTCCCAGATATCGATGCTGTCACTTGGCGAGGTTTTTCCTTTATTGTGGCCTTTTTCGAAGTCTTCTTCAAAGGTTTCTTGGGTAGCACACGGTGTTTGGTGGAGGAGTATTTTCTTTGCCTTTTCTCGGAGATGTCATGCGAAGTACCATCTACTTTCGTGGTCTTAGCAGGCTCTACTTGAAATTTTTGCGTGAATTACGTTTTACTCTTATCAATAAAATGAGTTAGAAAAACGACTTTATTGGAAACCGAAGTGAATCAAATCGGTACTACTCACTCTGTGTGCTGCTCTTTTTCTACTTATTCAAGTCTGAAATTTTCACTCGCAGGTACGAATCGATTCGATCCAATTCCTCAAATATTTTGTCATTGTCAGTCCAACCTCTGTACGTCATCAGGTAATACTTGTAAATGTCTGGAATTCGTGAATTTCTCTTGATTATACATCGCTGAAGTTAGGGATGCACTCCGAGAAATTATTACTCTTCCCATAACTTTTTCAGAAAGATAAACAGCAAAAGTTTATGAAAAGCTTTTCTGCGCACGAAACTACACTGAGAAACAAAATTTCTTTCGCCAAGAATATATTCTTCCCACCTGTTTGCGAATTGATGTTTTTACCGGGGTAGGGTGCATTGGAAGTGGAAGGGGTGAGATAGTTTGCCAATGGGATGATAAAAAAAACACGTTGATTAAGCCGCAAGGCGAATCAGTATAATTTAAGCCAAATGTACACTATTTACACGTGATAACTGTCCAATAATACTGATGATGATTATAACCGATTAATTTCAATGATAAGAAACCCAAAGATTGGAAGAAAAGATGTATAAACCCGATCAAAGCCACCATGATATAACTGATAAGATTCCGATATTTGCGATGCGATTTAATTGATGGATGAATACGTTGTGATGTATGTGGTCAGCGTAACCCCCCATAGCACCCGAGCCCATCCCCGAATTATTCCGATGGTGTCCGACCGACACAGTGCCCTGGATCAGCCTTAATTTCGTACATTCCGCCCGCCTTCATCATCGGAGGAGCATGAATGATCCTCTGGTTGGTCTTCCTCCTCTATGCTGATTGGTAACGGAACCACCTTGTTGATGCGTCTGGTGTAGATTGTGAGATTGTCATCACTTGGATGAACCCTTGATACTCGTCCTAGAGGCCACTTTGTTGGTGGATACCTCTCGTCAATGATGAGGACTAGTGTTCCGATTTTGATGTCATCCGTTGATCTTTTCCATTTGTAGATTGTTTGATAGTGATGCATGCACTCCCGAGACCACCTGTCCCAGAATTGCTGAGCGATCAGTTTCCACCTTGTCAGACCTCCCATTTTCCTGTTTAGAAGTGATGGTTCTGGAACTGCGTTGATGGGTTCCCCAATGATGAAATGTCCAGGTGTAACGGCTCTGCAGTCATCAGGATCATCTGATAGAGGGCAGAGAGGCCTCGAGTTCAGTTGAACCTCGATTTGAATCATGAGTGTATTGAGTTCCTCGTACGTGAGTACCAGATTCCCCGTGAGCCTTTTAAGATGAAATTTCACAGATTTCACCGCAGCTTCCTATTTCCCACCCATGTGGGGTGACTGCGGTGGGATGAAGATCCATTTTGTGCCGTTTGATGCCAGCTCGTTGATGATGTGATGAATTTCTCTTCTCGATTCGTCTAAGAGCATGCTCAGCTCATTGTCTGCTCCCATGAATGTCTTAGCATTATCACTGCTAAGTGTAGCACAGATACCTCTCCTTCCCGTAAATCTTTTGTAAGTCTCAATGAAAGCCTGTGATGTTAAGTCTGTGAATAGTTCAAGGTCAATTGCCGATGTGGCAAGGCACACAAAAACTGCTATATATCCGTGATATTGGCGAGCTCCTGATCTTCTCCATCTGCTGATTTTGATAGGACCTGCGTAGTCGACTTCTGCGTGCTTGAATGACCGTGCTGATGTGATTCTCCTTGGAGGCAGTTGTCCCATAAGCTGCTGTCCCCTGATGGCTCGATGTCGTGCGCAGATGACGCACTTGCGAATATGTGATTTTACAGGATGACGACCCCCGATGATCCAGTATTTTTGTCTGATGTGGGCCAGCGTTGCCTGTACTCCTCCATGAAGAGTTTTGCGATGAGATTCCTCGATGACCAGTGATGTGAGCCTTGATTGTCTTGGTAGAATTGATGGATTCTTGGCTTCTGGCTGAAGATTTGATCGTTTCAGCCACCCGCCTAGGCGAATGGTTTGATTCTCATCCAGATAAGGAATCAGCCGTGCCATTGGATGATTATTTGCGATGTCTTGCCCGTTGATGAGGCGATTGATGACTGGTCCAAAACTCTCCTGTTGTGTATAGTTGATCCAAAAGATTCTGGTCTCCTCCAGTTCTTCTGGCAAAGGATCTAGTTCTCTTGGGACTGGCTCCCCTCTCAGGGTGTTGATGACTCTCAGGACTCTTGCCGAGATCCTGAGCAACCTGTCGAGTGTGGAGTACTCCTCCAAGAAATCTTGAGGTCTCTCCAGATTTAGTGCCACCGGATGTGCAGCCACTGGCCTTTCCTCCAGGGCTGCTTCTGCCGTTGATTCGATTGATGTTGATGATGATGATGATGGTTCTCCATTGATGATTTCAGCCATGATGGACCATTCCACCACAGCTGATGATTTACCAATTGATCTGGTGATAATCCCCGTGATGCACAGTCAGCTGGGTTCTCGATCCCTTTGACATGATTCCATTCAGCTGCTGGTAATGAGTTCTGGATTTTGGTCACTCGATTCTGAACGAAATCCTTCCACCTTGATGGGTGTCCATTGATCCATGTGAGCGCCACCGTGGAGTCAGACCAGAGAAAGAGTTGTAGATTCTCGACCAGATCGGTTAAGATGACAGCTGCTGTCAATTCCAAGCGAAGAATTGTCATCTTCTTAAGTGGTGCGACCTTGGTTTTTGCACTCACCAAGATGACTAATGGCTCAGATTGATGATACTCCACTCTGATGTATACTACGGCCCCCATTGCCTGATTCTCGTACTGCAGTTAGAGAAGACTTCGGCTTGCAATCTGTACAGGAGACCGTCCCAGAAACTATCCAGCCAAAGATGGTTTGTTGCGTAACAAGTTGATTGTCCGGAGATTTGATGACCTTATGCCCAATGATTTGACCATAATGATCAGCTCCGATGATGATATCGATAGGACCAGGTTTGAGATATTTGTTGTCCGCCAATTGTAGATGTTGGAGATGATTTGCGTCTGCTTTTGTGTAGTGAATTGATGGTAATGTTGATGTGAGCTTGGCCATATTGATCTGATATTGATCATTGAACCGAGATTGAAGTTCATGATGTTGAACCTCATGATGTTGATGCAAGTGCTTTGGCAGTTGCCAACAGCACAACCCGTTGACTCGCTGAATTTGATGATGATTGATGAGTGACCTTGATGTCAGAGGACAACCCCGTTGTCTCTGACTTTGCTGATGATGTTGCTGATTCTTGAAGTTGACCACTTGAACTCTCAATTGATCCCGATGCCTTTGATGTTGATTCAATCCCTTGTGAGATCTCTGAAGAGTTGAGAGAGTCGTAAATTCTCTCTGTCTCCGTTGACCTCGGTGATGATGATGTTGATGATGAACCTAGGGATGGAAACAACCAGATGAGGGCCGTATCATTTGCCAAATAGAGTAAGAAAAATGATACTTAACCTCTCAATCCGGATACTCCGTGATCTCCCTGGTTGTCCTCGATTACTGGAACTGATGGTCGACTCGGCCGTCTTTCCAGTTCCTGGCGATGTTCGATAGCTCCATCATGGATCGAGGTATGATGTGGGCCCTTGCACTTCTGACAGTGTCGTGTGTCTTTGCAGAGATTCGCCTTATGAGGTCCAAAGCAGTTGTAACACAACTTGCTGTTGGTGATGAAACCCCTGTGTTCCAGTGGAGTCTTAGCCATAAACTTGTCACACTTGAACTTTAGCCAGTGTGATCCGTCACAGTATCGACAAGTAGGCCCTGATGATGATTTTCCCGATGATTTGTCAATGGTTGATGAGCTTCCTGTTGCTTGATGGGTGTGGATTGATAGTTTTCCCTTGGCCTTCTGCGAGACAGTGATCTTGGCAGAGGTGGTGACCTTGGAGGGTTTCACCGGATCTTCCCTCTCTACGTTCTCCAAGGCTCGAGCTCTGGCCTCCAGAAACTCGAGGAAGTCCTTGAGAGGACGGGGATTCCTCTCCGATCCCAGATGTACCCAAGCCTTCTTGGTCTCCAGATCGATGACCCTCCTGATGACTCTTCTCCTCGTCAGACATGATGAATTCCGATTTGTTTTAAATTCGTTGATGAGGAGCCCTGTTGATTACTGTCCGATGATGCTGACCGTTTTGTGATGATGAAAAACCTGGTTGATGAGATCCACTGTTCACTAATGTGAAAACCGCGCCGATGAGAAACCCGATTTGAAATTTTGGGTGATGAGAACCACTGATAATATGTTTCCACTCGCTGTGATATTCGTGTTTACTAGATGCTTCGAAACTCGAGCGCGCGCCGAAATCAAAACAACAGTGCTTTATTGTTATCTGCCGCGATCGCTTTCCCTCACTCCCGATCGATTACGTTACCACGCGTCTCCGAGATTGTTGTTAATGTTTTAATGTTCACCACTTCACTTAAACACTTCCAGATCCGGCTCGAAGGACCATTGATTTGCGAATTGATGTTTTTACCGGGGTAGGGTGGATTGGTAGTGGAAAAGGTGAGATAGTTTGCCATGGATGATAAAAAAACACGTTGAATAAGCCGCAAGGCGAATCAGTATAATTTAACCTAAATGTACACTATTTACACGTGATAACTGTCCAATAATACTGATGATGATTATAACCGATAAATTTCAATGATAAGAAACCGAAAGATTAGAAGAAAAGATGTATAGACCCGATCAAAGCCACCATGATATAACTGATACGATTCCGATATTTGCGATGCGATTTAATTGATGGATGAATACGTTGTGATGTATGTGGTCAGCGTAACCCCCCATAGCACCCGAGCCCATCCATCCCCGAATTATTCCGATGGTGTCCGACCGACCCAGTGCCCTGGATCAGCCTTAATTTCATACACCACCACTAAATCTGGCAATCACCGTGTAAATACTCAAAGCCACCATGATATAACTGATACGATTCCGATATTTGCCATGCGATTTAATTGATGGATGAATACGTTGTGATGTATGTGGTCAGCGTAACCCCCCATAGCACCCGAGCCCATCCCCGAATTATTCCGATGGTGTCCGACCGACCCAGTGCCCTGGATCAGCCTTAATTTCATACACCACCACTAAATCTGGCAATCACCGTGTAAATACTCCCATGAGATTTACTAATGCCAAATTTATATTCTTGTGATTAGTAAATATTCTTAGCTAAAGAAATTTTTTTTCTCAGTGCACTAAAAAAATTGTGACGTAATCGTAGATTGGACAACCTACTATTTTTCGCTGTTTCTTTCAAAGTTACATTTTATGTTTTTCCCCCTTATCTAAAATGGACACATATTCGAACGTGATCGGTGATGTGTTCAATGCCAGTTTATTCATCGTTATGTTATTATCATAGAGTAATTATCAAATTAGAATACCTTTGAGAGCCATCAGTTGGTTGGATGGGATTGCTTCTTTCATTATCCCCGTACGAGGGGCTCTTGTGCCAGTCACGCTGCATTCCTTAATTCCACACCCGCAAATCGAGAGTGCAATCGTTTTGATGAATGATGCTGCAGTGGGGGACCTTGCAGCGTCATCGTAGTTGACTTTTGGAATCCAAATGCCTTGACCTACATGCATCATCTCAACCTGTTATGATGAATGATGGTTATTCCTCGTTGATAAGGGGTGTTGAACCCTTGATTGGTCACCATACTCATTTTTTCAGCCATGAACCGATTAACCGGAAAACCCCGAAAAATTTGTCTTTTTATAATTGGAGCATGCAGATAATGCCATATAATGCCAGTATTTTTCAGATGATCGACATTCCAATTTGTCGGTAGAAAAAGCAGAACCCTAATTCATTCAAGACTACCAAACGAGGGTTCAATATTCGATACTAATCGAGATACTTTTACGGAATAATGAATCATATCTGTTTATTTTTACATATTTAATCAAGACAGTTATTTTTACCTCGATTACTTATTATGGAAAGAATTGTCGAAAGAATATCGGTCAATGCATAGCAGTGTATAACGTTCTACTAAGGAGTATTGATCATACAGGTTTTTTAATAATACGACTAGTGGAAAATCCGAGAAGAAGGAAAAGATTTACGTACGAGTTTCGATTCGAGAGCCAATTGCGAAGTGGCCAAGTATCATGGAATCTTATTACATTGATGGATATTTCATAATTTCCATCTCATTTATAGGATACCTCATTTATAGGTATACAGTGGACTCTTTAAAGTTGCCGCGCTCGAAGGCCCAGGAAAAGGCGATTCTTGAAAATCTACAACTTTTTGAGGTCCTCTTTTCTTAGCTGTTGTCGATTTTATTCAAGAGATACAATAGTATCTTGTGCACCAAGGGAAGAAAACAGGGGTTCGGCTTCGCCTCGGGTCGGTAATACTCACGCGGGTTTGAATTTCTTATTTCCCTTCCTCGGTGCACATTGTTCTTTCAGGCATTACTACACGGAAAAGTTCGATTTTTCTTCGTAAATGACGGGAGGAATGTGGGTTATGTCACCCAGAGGATCTTCAAAAACAACAGAAATTTGAGGGATAGATAGTATGACATAATACATCTTTATTTCTGTTTTCATGTATCGCGAACAAAAGACGAGATAATGATACTACCCTGAGTGGGATAGTGTTCGAGCGACCTAGAAAGGGATTAGAAAAAGTGTTTCCAACCTTTGTAAATTCTCTTTACTTGACTTTTGATGACAAGCCTGGATGATTTATTCAACAGACGCACTCCGAAATACGGAGGTTTGAATGACATGTGGTGTTTGGACAACTATTAGCTAAGTTTCGATGATGTAGGTATTCCCCGGTAGGAATTGCCAAGCATTGACAACAGGGCCAAGCTTGGTTGACTGTAAACTGCCAAGCCTGGTATTTCCTAGCCTGAGTCTGGCTTCAACCTGTGGTGATGCCAGTCTAGCGCCAATAGTCGTACCAAATTCACGGGAACACCGCTAGATGGCGAAGAGACGTTTTTATTTCTACGAGTGAATTGTCGTGGTAAAGTTCATGAAGGGATTAACGACAGGCTGAATAAGTACTCTGGTTTCCCTTCAAAACACGCATAAGTCTTTCGCCTTTTACTAAAGATTTCCGTAGACGGGAACAATTGATGAGTCTATCAGACAATTTTTTGTAGGCCCGGGGAAAACTGGATCGCCAATTAATCAAGGAATAATTAAATTAAACACAATAATATAAATAAGATGAATAAATAATTAAAAATAATTAAAATCCGATAAATATATGTTAAATTTCAATTCGAGTTTATTTAATTGCAAGTCTTGATTGAAGCCAGGTGTTAGGTTATATTAGCCTTGATCAGGCCTGCTTTATACTGGTAGGCCTATGTTGGGCCTCACCCTTAGGCCAAGCTGG